TGTCACTTGCAGCCTTTGTATGACAGGCAACAAGTGTAGAGTATAAATACTTGAATGATGTGGTGTCGGTTGCGCCCTTTGTTTGACAGGCAACAAGTGTTGAGTATAAATACTTGAATGATGTGATGAAGTGTCACTTGCAGCCTTGATTGACAGGCAACACGTGTTGAGTATAAATACTTGAATGATGGGATGTAGTGTCGGTTGCGTCCTTTGTTTGACAGGCAACAAGTGTAGAGTATAAATACTTGAATGATGTGATGAAGTGTCCGTTGCACCCTTTGTTTGACAGGCAACACGTGTACAGTATAAATACTTGAATGATGTGATGAAGTGTCCGTTGCGTCCTTTGTTTGACAGGCAACAAGTGTAGAGTATAAATACTTGAATAATGTGATGAAGTGTCCGTTGCACCCTTTGTTTGACAGGCAACACGTGTACAGTATAAATACTTGAATGATGTGATGAAGTGTCCGTTGCGTCCTTTGTTTGACAGGCAACAAGTGTAGAGTATAAATACTTGAATGATGTGATGAAGTGTCCGTTGCACCCTTTGTTTGACAGGCAACACGTGTACAGTATAAATACTTGAATGATGTGATGAAGTGTCCGTTGCGTCCTTTGTTTGACAGGCAACAAGTGTAGAGTATAAATACTTGAATGATGTGATGAAGTGTCCGTTGCACCCTTTGTTTGACAGGCAACACGTGTACAGTATAAATACTTGAATGATGTGATGAAGTGTCCGTTGCGTCCTTTGTATGACAGGCAACAAGTGTACAGTATAAATACTTGAATGATGTGATGTAGAGTCACTTGCAGCCTTTGTATGACAGGCAACAAGTGTAGAGTATAAATACTTGAATGATGTGACGTCGGTTGCGCCCTTTGTTCGGCAACAGGTGCTGAGCATAATACTTGAATGATGTGGTGTCGGTTGCACCCTTTGTATGATAGGCAACAAGTGTAGTGTGTAAATACTTAAATGGTGATTTATCAGCTGCGTCCTTCTAGAGCCAGACAGCTAGTGTAGACTATACTAGATTAAAGCGACATCATGCATCCTTTTCAAGTTTTAAACAAACTAAATACTTCCCTCTGAAACTTTGAAATGAATTTATTCAAGAAAACATCAGACATACCAAAACAGTAGGAACATTATTCTCTTTTTGGATTATGTCTTTTAAACAGCTCTTGACATCTTTTGTTTACCAAGAATACCTAAACCTGAAAATATATACGTGAAACCATGATCATAATATTCTATAAAAATATATAAAATCTACTATTTCACCAGTAGAACCTCATTAATACAAATTTCACAATCTCGATTCGTCATGATGACTTTAGCACTTAATAGCTTCTGTCGTCGAGACTCATTTGCATCGATCTCTGGATATACATGTATTCGAGACTTATATATCACAAGACTTCGAGTTAACGACGTTTCCTTGTGTGCGGAAATACCCCATACTGCGCATCCACTCTACAGGAAGATGGACATGATTGCCAAGATAACTGCGATGGAAGCAAGGGTTGATTGTTCGGAGGCACCAGAAGTCGGGTACGGTCCATAGCTAGGTTTAACTCTGCACTCGCATGAATCCAGCGCAGCAAAGAATTTAGTGTTTTCAACATTATCAACAAAGCTTCGCATTATGTCTCTGATATAACCCTCCATTTGTCCCGTAAAGCACGGGTGTTGCTTTACCTCGGCTACAGCAGCTGGACATTCAGCACGACATCCTCCATAGACATTACAGTTGTCCAAAACCTTAAACAGAAACGTCAAGAAAAAAAACTACACATAAATAATAACTGTTAAAAATAATAAATATGATCATTTATTTCAACTTAACTACCCAGTGAAATAAAGTATTGACTTGGAAAATTGTTTATTGCATAGAGCGACTTTTCAGTGTAGATACTTACACCTTTTTCAAGATTTCTTTTAGCTTGAAAACGGTGTATGAATCTACGTGGAAACATCTCTCTATGCAAAGTACAAGAAGTTGTTATCCATAAGGTCGTTTGCTTTATTATTGATTCACCAACTTCTGGAATGCCGATCAAACAATTAGTCGGAAAAGGTATATAAGCCCTGTGATTCAAAAGTAGCACTGTATGTTTTCAGAATAACGGTCATGGAATCATTTCATTTCAACAGAAATAGTGCCGTTTTAACGTTGAGAAAATAGTTAACCTTGAGAAAATAGTGCCATTTCAACGTGGAGAAAATAGTGCCATTTTAACGTTGAGAAATTAGTGCCGTTTTAACGTAGAGAATATAGTGCCATTTCAACGTGGAGAAAATAGTGCCATTTTAACGTTGAGAAATTAGTGCCGTTTTAACGTAGAGAAAATAGTGCCATTTCAACGTGGAGAAAATAGTGCCATTTTAACGTTGAGAAATTAGTGCCGTTTTAACGTAGAGAATATAGTGCCATTTTAACGTTGAGAAAATAGTGCCATTTTAACCTAGAGAAAATAGTGCCATTTGAAGGTAGAAAAAATGCTGCAATTTTAACATTCAGAAAATAGTGTCATATTGACGTTGAGTAAATCTAACGAAATAGTGCCATTTGATTTAGTTTTACCCAAACAAAGTTTAACATACCTTGCCAAATAATTGCTTTCTGATGGGATGGGGTCTGTTAAACATCATGTAAAGGTAACAGCCGTTGAGAGTTCCACTTTTATCGAAATTACAGAAATCGATATCATTCCACGTAAAGCAGGATTCGCTCTGCATGGCCTCTTCAGGGTAGTAGGTAAAAATCTCAAAATACATCTCATCGAACGTCCCTTCTCCATACATGGCAGTTGTGCTTCTCGAGGTGGACCTGCACATGCAAGTGGTTTCTAGAACATCGCCCGCCAGAAGCTGCACGGGAGGGTTGTACCTAGGTTGAGAGAAGTATTGAGTGAGTGAGTTTTGCGCCGCAATGTCAAGCAATATCATGGCGGGGAACACGAGAAATGGGCTTCACAAATTGTACCCATGTGGGGAATCGAAGCAGGGTCTTCAGCGGGACGAGCGGCTACCCCGACACCCCCAGAAGAATTGAGAATTCAGGTTTGGAATGTCTTCTTGGTACTGTATTAATTGAATAACCCGAGTAACCCAACACTTAGATGAGACGAATAAAGAAAAGCAGGGTCATTTGTGTTTTTACTCTATCCGTATTATCATACAGCAGCATCAGCATCAGTAGCAGTAGTAGTAGTAATAGTAATAGTAATAGTAATAGTAATAGTAGTAGTAGTAGTAAGTAGTAGTAGTAGTAGTAGTAGTAGTAGTAGTAGTAGTAGTAGTAGTAGTAGTAGTAGTAGTAGTAGTAGTAGTAGTAGTAGTAGTAGTAGTAGTAGTAGTAGTAGTAGTAGAAGTAGTGAGTAGTAGTAGTAGTAGTAGTAGTAGTAGTAGTAGTAATAGTAGTAGTAGTAGTAGTAGTAGTAGTAGTAGTAGTAGTAGTAGTAGTAGTAGTAGTAGTAGTAGTAGTAGTAGTAGTAGTAGTAGTAGTGTAGCAGTAGTAGTAGTAGTAGTAGTAATAGTAGTAGTAGTAGTAGTAGTAGTAGTAGTAATAGTAGTAGTAGTAGTAGTAGTAGTAGTAGTAGTAGTAGTAGTAGTAGTAGTAGTAGTAGTAATAGTAGTAGTAATAGTAGTAGTTGTAGTAGCAGTAGTAGTAGTAAAGCAGTAGTAGTCGTCAGTAGTCAGTTGTTGCTATTAGTAGAAGTAGTAGTAGAAGCAGTAGTAGTAATAGTAAAGCAGTAGTAGTAGCAGTAGTAGTAGTAGTAATAGTACCAGTAATAATTGTAGCAGTAGTAGTAGTAGTAATAGTAGTAATGTAGTAGTGGTAGTAATAAGTAGTAGTAGTAAGTTGTAGTAGTAGTAGTAATAGTAGTAGTACTTGTAGTAGTAGTAGTAATAGTAGTAGTAGTAGTAGTAATAATAATAATAGTAGTAGTCTTTTATACATTTTTCTTGAAACTTTGAAAAATTCCTCGTCATTTCAGTTGTTGCTTTTTTGTCGAATGTTTTCTCTCATTTTAATGCTTTCTTTTACCTACCATTATTTCCTGTTAAATTTTTTCTCTTATTAAAATAATTAGATTAGCGAGAGAAATACTAAAAGGTTTCGATTTAAAAAGAATTAGATTATGCTACCAAAAGTACATAGTTAGGCTTTTATCAGGCATGTTAATGCGTGATTTCATGGTTTCACATACGGAATCATAGCGTGTTCGATGGCTACGGCATAGCTGTGTCAAGTAGATGACTGCACGGCAAAGCGTGTGATGGTACGGCATAGCGTGTGATGGTACGGCATAGCGTGTGATGGTACGGCATAGCGTGTGATGGTACGGCATAGCGTGTGATGGTACGGCATAGCGTGTGATGGTACGGCATAGCGTGTGATGGGTGTGATGGTAATGGCATAGCGTGTGATGGTACGGCATAGCGTGTGATGGTACGGCATAGCGTGTGATGATACGGCATAGCGTGTGATGGTACGGCATAGCGTGTGATGGTACGGCATAGCGTGTGATGATACGGCATAGCGTGTGATGGTACGGCATAGCGTGTGATGATACGGCATAGCGTGTGATGATACGGCATAGCGTGTGATGGTACGGCATAGCGTGTGATGCGTACGGCATAGCGTGTGTGATGATACGGCATAGCGTGTGATGATACGGCATAGCGTGTGATGATACGGCATAGCGTGTGATGGTACGGCATAGCGTGTGATGGTACGGCATAGCGTGTGATGATACGGCATAGCGTGTGATGATACGGCATAGCGTGTGATGGTACGACATAGCGTGTGATGATACGGCAAAGCGTGTGATGATACGGCATAGCGTGTGATGAAACGAAAGAACGTGTGATGATAGAACGTCGTGTAGACAAAACGTGACGTATATCCCCGTCAAAAGAATATCGTATCTCAATCTGTCGTTTAGAATTTCTGGGTAGAAATTGTAGTGCAGGAAATACATTACGTGTGAACTTTAGGGTTGTCATAACTGTAAACCTCGTCTGGAGTCAAGTCTCGCAGTTTCTCGCCATTCCGGAAATGTTCCACGTTTTGTTGGAAATCTGAAAAGGGAGGAGGTCATTGTTGTTTTAGGATCCTATTTTCGTGAGATTCAGATCTCTGCAGAGATTCGCTGTGAAGAACTGCACTCACTCACTCACTCACTCACTCACTCACTCACTCACTCACTCACTCACTCACTCACTCACTCACTCACTCACTCACTCACACTCACTCACTCACTCACTCACTCACTCACTCACTCACTCACATCCTACCTACCCAAATAATGCATATGGTTCCACCCAGTCATTAGATTCACCGGTGCCTTAATTAGTTTCCTGGTGCACTCTGCAGTACATGTAGACGTCTTGACCACTCGCTGCTGACCAGGCTGGATGACTAACTGCGTCTGGCAAGTGGTAAAATAGGCAGCGTTGTTCTTTCTCAGCTTCGTTGTCAGGAACAACACAAGGCCTGAACTGTCCACGTAGTCGGTTCTTTTCTGTGGGTTCGTCCAGTGGAACTGTTAGGGACAATTTAATTTGAATGGTCATTCTCGCTATTTGAGCAGTTACGGCCACTTAACCTTACTGATATGGACGCCAACGGAAAGCTCGACGCCATCTTGAAACAATTCGAGTCTAACAAAGTTGAACTTCTGTCCTCTTCAGAGTCCAAGATCGGTGAACTGAGAGAAGAGTTCGTCCACATATCGCTTGATATCAAGAAGCTTAAGGCAGAGAAATATTACAATATGCTCTCACTCACTCACTTGACGTAAAGAGTAGACAAGCGGTAAAAACATGTATGAATTGATCAGTGAAGATCAGTGAAGACCAGTAATGACACAAGGTGGTTTTCTTCAAAAACGTTAACATTTTCTGCTCTACCGGTAGCACCAAGCACTAGCACGATTTGAAAACAAGTTTATTTGAAACCCTTAAATATCTGAGATTCTCGCACCTGCGTGTTGATCATGGACATCCCTGCCTTCTTGCCAAACTTGAATCCGGCATCCCGATAGACACATTCCCCTGGCATCCCAAGTGTCAACAGCTGAAGGGTTTTCTGGCATCCCGGGGACGCCATGTTGCACACCGCTGGCTCGGAGAGAGGCACGCCTAAATAATCAAAATATTTAAATATTCAAGAAAGGAGCAATACTTTCAATGAATCAGTAAGTGCGTTACGTTTTACGCCGGACTCAGCCATATTGCAGTTATATGGCGGCGGTCTGTAAATAATCGATTCTGGACCAGACAATACAGTGATCAAAAGCATGAGCATCGATCTATGCCATTGGGATACGATGACATGCGCCAACCATTCGGCCTGACCACCCGATACCGTTAATCGCCTCTTACCACAAGCATGGGTTACTGAAGATCAGTTCTAAACCCGAATTTCCACGGGAGCAAAACTATCAAAAATGACACAAGCAAGCCTTTCATCTTCGTGTGGGTTAAACATATAAGAAATAAGTGAAATGAGCAGGGTTCTTTGATTTTCTACACGAAATTTCGAGAGTAATTTTTAAGTTTGATCTAACACAAAGTAATCGAAAGTTCGTTTCTTTTTGGAAGCCGCGGTGGCTGAGCGGGTTGGGCGTCTGATTTAGTGTGCTGGCGATTAGATGCCTGACTCTGAGGTTGTGGTTTCGAATCCAGGATGGGACTCAACCCAACAAAAGTACTAGAATGTGTACTTTACTAAGAAAGTGTAATCCCAAAAAACATATGTTGAATCGAAATTTCATTACAAATAAAATTTGGAATAGAAGAACATGAACTGAGTTGCTGATTTCTTTCTTGCGTCAGGTACAATCAAACATGTTCTTTTTACCTAGATTTCAAAAAGCGTCATACCACTCTTGCTCAGAAATTGTTTGATCAAGGTTTTAAAATTCAAACAGTCTGGTCCAAACGATCGTTTGCAGGTAGCGTCTTACAGCTGTAATATTACAGAATGCGGTGTCACACAAACACACACTTATGATACAGTCAGAATTGTACAAGCGACTCTGCCTTTAACAGATATTTCTTCCAAAAGTTGAAATTCTTTTTTCGTCTCTCTTTACCTGATCTTTTGACACATGAATTGAGAAAATAAATTATACTAAAAAAATCGTAATTGAAAAAAATGAAATAACAAAAGCAATTAAAACTTTATTACAAATATAATTTGGAACATAAGTTCTACGCCAGAGATACCAGTAGCGTCGCACCCCGCCATGACGTTGGCGTTGTCGATGAAGGGCTTGCTGCCGATCAGATGGTAGTCGGTGTTCTCATCCAGCATGTCAAGGTTAAAGGTGAAGCACATGTAGCTAGTTTGGTCAGCCGGGACACGGGTCGGGGGGAACCGCAGCGTTATGTTCATCACATCTAGTTATGAAAAAAATGCAGCGTTATCATTAAGGCGGCGTTTATTTTTTCGTTTATGAAGGAATTCGTGAGTTACTTGGATAAAACGGCGCTTTTAGGAGCATTCCAACTGTACCACGGCGGTGTGGAGGGAAATACCAAAGAGAAGCAGGTCCAAGACCACTTTGGTAAAAGCCACGAGCCGTATGCGGTGCTGAGAAACCTTGGGATTCGAACCCACAATCATAGGTTTCTGGTGTGCTTAAGGGACGCAACTCTGCACAGAGATTTGCGGCACCTTAAAGGCACTATTTCACACCAGGCTTCTCTAAAAGTAGATGATGCATTTTTCTCAATAATACTAACTATGAGTCCTCACTGAAGCTACCTTATAATATATTCCAAAAATAATTAGGTATTTACATTACAATATCAAGTTGAAAAGTTCGAATGAAATAATGCAACGTTGAATTAAATCGACTCTCGCACCCTCAACCGGCCGAACATTATTTCAAGCAAACCCCATAGAGTTATGTCCCTTGAAGCGCTCTTTGCGAATATCCTATAACTCCTTTGGGAGACAGAACTCAGTCCTAGACTGAACTGAACTGAACTTTATTTACACTCCGACCGCGTTCTGTGGCATTAACTTAAATACATGTATGAAACATAAAGTAGTTATATATATATATATATATATATATACATACATATCGCTTGGTTGCAAGAATAAACTGTCTGTACATACATGTAACCAGTTAAATACACAATGTTACACTCGTGCGTTATTGGTTATCTTTTGTGGGGGCGTTGCTTAAAATGAGACACAGGAGAAAGATTTGTCCCCATCCCCTCTTCCCCCACCCCCTCTCCCTCGCGGTGTTGGACATTCTTTTGTTTTACCTGGACTGTCGATGCCGTCGCGTTTGAACTCCCCTCTTTCGCACGAGACATCCTTGTTTGCTTCCCTGCACTGTTCGCTGTCCCATGGGTCACAGACACCTGAATCATAAGGCCAGTTAGTGTTTAAAAAAACTTCAAAACTTGAATCAGTTTCATCAAATCACATATTAAAGGGCCCTTGTCAAATCTATCGATTGTTCTCAATAAAAGAGCTTATACATTATACATTGAACAACGGTAAATAGATATGCATATGCATGGAACAAAACTGATTGATTAATCCGGACACTTGTTAATCTACACAATTTGGCCGGAAATGGTGCGACCTTATTAAACTTTTCATAATCAGCACTGAGTATGATTCGAATGAAGTTTTACGCCACTTTTGAACACTAGTGATGCTAAGAGAGGCGGAAAACTAAACTCACTCACTCACTAGACAGAGGGGACATAGGGATATGATGCAGCGTCGAACCTAGACTTGACGTCGTGACAAGTCAACGATGAACCATCTAGCAGCTAAAGCTGCGCGTGGGAGTATGATCCAGAAGATTTGTACCTGGTGCTGAACGTAATCGTCTTTGTACAAGACAAAATATTGTGGTCGTAACGTTTTTGTCTTATACTTGAATACCAACTGTATGCCTCTCCAGAACCCCCTTAATCATCCTTATATTTTTGTTGAAGTAGAAAGCGGGTAGTGGCCTAGTGGTTAAAGCGTTAGGCCGTACTAGGTTCGAATCCAGAATGGAGTGAAGAACAATTTACAGGGAAGCAAGTCAGTTGTTGCATGTTGTGTTACCTGGATGAGATAAGCCGCTTGAGGTGGAAGGGAAGGTTCCTTTCTTCCAGACACAGTCATGGTCACCCAGCTCTTGACCGTTGGTCATCCTGTCCCCGTCCGAGTCCAGGCGGCACAACTCCGTCGTCCACTGATATCATACATGGTGAATTAGATATATAGTTACCCACGAAGAGATCAACTAGTTACCCGGGAAGATCCGGGTTAGAATTGCTTTCCAACAACCCATGCTTCAGGATCGGGTGGTCAGGCTCGCTGACTTAGTTGACACACGTCATCGTATCCGAATGGCTCATGCTGTTGATCACTGGATTGTTCTGGTCCAGATTAGATTATTTACAGACCGTAGCCATATAGCTGGGATATCGCTAAATTTACTGGTTGTTCAATGTGGTGCATGGTGAACTAGTGGTTGATAATATGAACAACGGGTCTGAAGCCATCCGCCTCATCAGTCTTCCCTTCCATCAAACTGGACATAACTCAATACACATGAAATGAAATTAACTAACTTAACTTTCTGTATTTTGCTTACACTGTGATGTCGAGCGAAATCTCGTCCAAATGGGTTCCTTGGTCCGCCCCCGAGGGAGTTGTCGTGCCCGACTCCCCACCATAAGTAGTTAGCTTTACAAGGGTGGGGCACGTGATCTCCGTTCGGGATCTCGTCCTGGTAGAAGCGGTAAGCGGATGTCGTCGCCACCAACAGGAAAGGGTTAGAACTCTGAGGTAAAGGAAAAGGTAATTGTATCACATATACGACATCTTGGGCATGTTCCAGAAAGCCATCTTAGCGCTGAGATAAACGACGTTTCCTTGCTGGCTTTATTATTATTATTATTATTATTATTATTACATGATATTTATATAGCGCACATATCCACGTGACTAGTACATGCTCAAGGCGCTGGTATTTCCCTCGATCACTGGATGTCAATCTCAACGGCACATCGCATTATCAATCTCAGCTCCCCAGGGAGCATACAACTCTTGCAGCCACTTTAATGTACCCATGAGACCTGGGTTCAAAGTGTCAAGATGTACCCATGAGACCCGGGTTCAGAGTGTCAAGATGTACCCATGAGACCCGGGTTCGATGTGTCACGATGTACCCATGAGACCCGGGTTCGATGTGTCACGATGTACCCGTGAGACCCGGGTTCGATGTGTCACGATGTACCCATGAGGCCCGGGTTCGATGTGTCAAGATGAACCCATGAGACCCGGGTTCGATGTGTCAAGATGTACCCATGAGACCCGGGTTCGATGTGTCAAGATGTACCCATGAGCCCCGGGTTCGATGTGTCAAGATGTACCCATGAGACCCGGGTTCGATGTGTCAAGATGTACCCATGATACCCGAGTTCGATGTGTCAAGATGTACCCATGAGACCCGGGTTCGATGTGTCAAGATGTACCCATGAGGCCCGGGTTCGATGTGTCAAGATGTACCCATGAGGCCCGGGTTCGATGTGTCAAGATGTACCCATGAGACCCGGTTCGATGTGTCAAGATGTACCATGAGGCCCGGGTTTGATGTGTCAAGATGTACCATGAGACCCGGGTTCGATGTGTCAAGATGTACCATGAGACCCGGATTCGATGTGTCAAGATGTACCCATGAGACCCGGGTCGATGTGTCAAGATGTACCCATGAGACCCGGGTTCGATGTGTCAAGCAGATACCAGGTGCCACAAAACCTGACGCTGCTGGAATATTTCTAAAACCGGCATAAAATTGCACTCAGTCTTTGTAACCTACTGAACCAATGCTTTGCAATAAAACAGTAAGTAGATTATTTATCCGAGGTTAGCCATGGCGATGCTCTCCGTGTTCTCTCAACTTGACAGGGCGATCGTCGGAACTTGCTCCTCCTTCTGTTGACGAAATAAACGCCTGTCGGTGTGAGGATATGGGCTGCAACAACACACACAAGGCTCACGTGAAATATATACTACCCGTTTGTATATGTTGGACGACCGTGGAGCTACCTTCTGGACATATGAGGAATATTTACACAGTTTCCCCAGAATTATTAAGAAAATCTTTGTTTCCTAATACTGATAATAGAATTTTAAAATAGGTGTTACATTATATTGTTACCAATATTGGAGGCCAATCTAGCAAGATTAAGAATGAACCTTACTACATCAAGGTTTATCTCCCCCGATGTAGCAGACGGCTTCTTTTGTTGATATGGCAGATGTGAAAGCAGAAGCGAAAACAAAGCTGGTTCTAGGTGATTTTGAAAGGGGTGTGAATAATGCTAAGAGTTGACAGGTAGACATGGTATTCCCCTGTCTACAGTTTACAGAACTTTGAAGAATATTCAGTCGGGAGTTGGGATGGAGCACAAGACTGGGGCTGGGAGGCCAAGGAAGTTCTGTTCGATGGGTGGCTGGCGTCTTGGTCAGATTGTGAGTAGGGGAAAATTGAAAAGCGTTGAAAATATCAGAAATGAGATGATTAATAGAGGAAATCCTCAGGTATGTAATAAAAACCCTTAGACAAGAATTACAACGACTTAACTCGGTGAGAAAGTTCGAATTTCCTCACCATTGATGAAAGATGCACAAAATGAAAGACGTTTAAACTGGTGTAGGGCTCACGAAAATCAAGATTTGGATAATGTTTTCTTTTCTGATAAAAGGTCTGTCTGGCTTTTTCCGAACTGTGTAAAGATTTGGACAAAAGATACCGTGAACCTTATCTACCAACGCCCAAAACATAGCCCGACATTTCACATGCGGGGTGGGATATCATCACTTGTAGTGATGCTGTTGTGTATTTTCACTGGAAATGTGGCGAAGGAACGATATGTTGACTTCTTAAATGGTCACCTCCTTCCAACGGTCCGAACATTGTAAGAAGATAATTGGATTTTCCAGCATGATAACGACCCAAAGCACACTGCGGACTACACAAAATAATGTCGGACGAAAATATTTTAGACTGGCCAAGATCTTAACCCTATTGAGAATGTGTGGGGACTAGTGTAACGGGGATGACTGCGTTGAGGCAAGTTCCTTTATATTACTGTAGTTTGTATATAATAATACAAGTCTGAAACAATATATGTGAATATATAACACACCATAAAATACCTATTTGATCACATTCATTTCATTGCACATTGTTCAGATAATTAACAATCACAGCACTACCACTGAACATATAAAAAGAACTCAAAACAAATTGACATCACAAAATCAATGGTTCAGTTTCATATTAAGATCCTTAGGAATTATGGAACACATTTGGCATCTTCAAAACAATGAAACACCAACGTGTCTTACCATCAAGTCAATCAAACTGGCCACATGTTGTGAGGCACCAACAAAACACCAAGGACCTAAAATATGTATGTTTTAATTAGCATGGAAATGCTAATTCTCACCAGTAGAGTAAACGTACAATCTGTTTGGACTCAGACATTAATCTGAATCAATTGTAAGTGAAATTATTGACACCAACAATTTCTAACCATAGGTCAAAATATAACTCCACCAATGCATAGATTCAGTTACAATGAATACTGAATTAACCTTTCAACAATTAAACATATTTTTGTAGTTTTATTCCTTTTATATAAAACCAAATGTAACTAACCTGTAATTCACCAAAGTCAAAATCCTCCATCCATGACTTTCAAACCACCTTGCGAGGTTGGGAGAAAGACAGCATGTGAACAGACTTCACACTTTCCAAATGCAACTAAATTCAACATCCAATCAAGATGCTGCACATCTTCAGTCAATAAAAACCAAGGACAAGACAGCAGACCTGACCTCATTAAGACTTGGCTAATTTGCATAGGAACTACTTTTGACCCATGACCCAGTGGTGACTATAAATACATCATGGACTTGTGAACATATAAACCTTTTCACTGACAAGACATATTAAAATAGATTGCTTTTTCCAGAACATTTTACTATTTGTATATTTTGTACTTGTTACACACTTGTATTTGTTACACACTTGTTTTGTACTTGTTACACTAGTGAAGGACAGAATAAACCGAAACGGACTTAGAGATATTGAGGATATGAAGAAAAACGTGGTCGAATATTGGGATACGGTGTCACACGATTTCCTACAAATTTTAATCGGTAGTGTACCGTTGAGTCGTGTATTGCAGGGCAAGGAGGTCTCACAAAGTAATGCGGCTTTAATATTCAGCGATGTATTTGACAAGGTATCAGGGGCGATGGTACACATCAACGATTATATCTCACAACATCGGACTGTTTTTGGTAACGTTTCATGACAGTTTCATGTCATGTAGTTGGTCCATTCAAATTTTCATGTTTCTACTCGCTTTAGCCCGTAAGACAAGCTGGAGCATAACTGAGTGGAGCGTTGTTATACAAACAATAAACACTCCACCCTGTTCATTGTATTTCACAAGTCGCGCGTTTGTGACGTGATTGTAGATTTTCTTATAAGAGCATGGAGTTCTATTTTTTTAAATTATTCTTCTTTAGCCATTTAGAAAGCAGGAACATTCACAAAACAACAACTGCCAAAGATTGAAACAAGGAATGCTATTTGTATTAATAATGTAAACAGCTCTGCATTTTCTCATGCCCTTATTCAAAAACATACTTGTAACTTTGACGTTTTTAGCGTATTAGAAAATATCCTTATCCCATATGTTCACTGTGTTGAACCGATCACAAAGCTGGGCCTGTTCTGGATTCTGCCAAAATGTGAAAGAATACTCGATTCTGATGGGTCAACCCCAAGTATGCGGTCGAGATTACTTGCCATCAGCATTTCGGACGGGTGTCTGGAGATCGGTCCAAATTTGGTGTCATCAAAGGCCTGTGAAATATTATCCATTCAAACCAACAGTTTTTCCACTGTATTTACCACTTATCAGTTTGTATTTAAGGTGTTTAGCAAGGCACTTATTCCTATTACAAAATATGGACCAGAAATTTTGATTGAAATGACTTGATAATGAATTGAAAATATATCAAACTGATCTAAGTGTAGGATAAAGAACATATAAGGAAACAGACAAATATCCTCTGCTTACTAGGGCAGTGCAATATCATCGGTTTACCGGTATTTACCGGTTCAGACATGAAAACGATACATATTGCCATACGCTCATCGAAAACCGGTATTTTGACATGCATTCGGAAAAGTTCGTAACACTCGGAAATCTTCGGATATTTCCGTATTTCACACCGGAAGTTAAGTTCGGTTTAAAGTTTTGTACTTAATTTTTGTTCAAGTGTTTCGCAATGTTTTGGATCTGAATGTTTTAAATATTTACTCATTAATGACCAGTGATCTCTGATATGCCCTGACCAGGTAAAGTTGCTGTCTAAAAGTGGAGAGTGGAGAAACTAGTTCAAACTAGTTACCACTGTGTTGGTGTTAAATTGTTCTTTTCCCTGTTTGATTTGTGCCAAATATTATTTACATATATATCTTGTCATGATTAAAGGTTTTTATTAAAACTTAATCAGGCATAGTGATTTTGTTGAGTTTATGCTTTATAAATCAAGTATTAACTCGATTATAATAGTTTTTGTTTGTTTTTGTTTTCAAGCATGAAAACGATATAAGTATCTATACGGAAAGGTCGCTATTGTACAATAAAGAATTTGATCATCCATAATTAAGACTTGTCATTCACGTAAATCTTGAAGACTGACAAATATTATTTATTACTCGCAAATTGATTTGGCTACAGTCGATATAATGTA